ATGGGCCCGGGCGCGCCGGCGCTCGCTGTGGTCCTGCTCGCCGCCTGGCCGCCCTGTGCCCCTGGCGCGGCGCGCTGCGGCGCCCGCGTGCTGAAGAGGGGGGATAAGCTGAAGGCCAGCTGGGGAGGGCGAAGGGAGAAGGGAGGGAAGGATGGGGGAGAGCGGAGGGAGAGGAGGCGAGAAGAGGGAGGAGGAGGAGGAGGAGGAGGAGGAGGAGGAGGAGGATGAGGAGGAGGAGGAAGGAGGAGGAGGAGGAGGAGGAGGGAGGAGGGGGAGGAGGGGGAGGAGGAGGAGGAGGAGGAGGGGAGGAGGAGGAGGAGGAGGAGGATGAGGGGCGGAGGAGGAGGAGGAGGAGGAGGAGGAAGGAGATAGGGAGGAGGGAAAGAGGGAGGGCAGAGGGATGGTTGCAAGGGAGGGATGAGGGTAGGAGGGATGGAAGGGAGGAGGAGGAGAGGGAGGGAGGGCGGAGGAGGAGGATGTGGAGGAGGAGGAGGAGGAGGAGGAGGAGGAGGAGGAGGAGGTTGAGGAACAGGGAGAGAGGAGGCCTTCAGTGGACCGTTCCTCCGCAGACAGGTCAGAGGTAAGGCGCGGGTTCGGAAGAGCAGTCATTTAGGGGGAGGAGGGGGAGCTGGAGGAGGGGGAGAGGAGGAGGGGGAGAGGAGGAGGAGGGAGAGGGACGGAGGAGGAGAAGGAATGGATTGGTATGGAGTGGGACGCGATACGGATGCGAAAAAGATGGAATAGAGGTGGAAGTTTCACCCTTGCGTTCCCTACTCTTCCTTCACATCCGCACTCGAGTCTTCTGCGACGAGCCCTACCATTACGAGTCAGACCGACGCTGGGATATCGGACACCCGTCGGGGACCACTCGGCGGCAGGCGCCATTCGAGCTCTGAGCCCTGGCCCGCTCTTCAGAAGTCTGACGTGGCGTACTGAAAGCGAAGAGAGCTCACTGAAGGCAACTTGCCTTACTCGAGTCGAAGGAGAACAAACGTAATAAACATAAACCTTTCACGTTCCGCGCGGATTTCTCGGATCCGCGCTGGGCCCTCCCGGGAGGCGCCTCTGGCGCCGCCCCTGGCACGCTCCGCGCGCCAGGGAGGGGGGGCCCAACGCAGATCCAGGAAGGCCTCGCGGGGTGCGAAAAGTCTATGCTCATGGCGCCGGTTCCTCCTCGATCCAGACCAGACATTTGGCATCGCTCGGACGCGTGCGTTTCTCCTTGGCGAGAGACATCGAGGACCTTCCTGGACCATCGAGCAAACATTACTCACTGCGTGGAGCTCCCCACATGTGCATCTATTCGCATGGACCTGTGCTCCCCATATGTGCATCTATTCGCATGGACCTGTCCGCAAGAGCTTTCGAATATAAATGGGCTTCAGTTGCGACTGCCTGGTCATGAATCTAACTGCGAATGAATCGGAGTGTGGATGAGCCTCAGTAGTACGAGCGCGCCTATGCGCATGAGCCTGGGGCCGCCTGGGGCCTCCTGAAACCTACTGGGGCTTCCTGGGGCCTCCAGGAGCCTCTTGGGGCCTCCTGGGGCCCTTCTGGGACCTCCTAGGGAGGATTCGTGCCCCAGGAGAGGCCCAATCTATAGCAACAGACGTGCGTAATAAAACATTGCGGATTGGAGCCGCAGGAGAAGGGCAGTATATAAGGATACAACACGTAAAACACCAAGGACGCGGGCACCAGGAGAGGCCCAACATATAGGAATATCGGTAAAACAGTTAGGATTGTGTGCACTGGATAAGGACCATCTATAGAGACATACGTACAACGTCAAGGGTTCGTGCTCTGGGGGTGTAAGCTATAGGGCGTACGTTTTGCGGTCTGAGCTATGTGAACCACTCCTGTTGCCTTATGAGGCCTCCTGCTCCTGGGGCCTCTCGGGGCCTCCTGTTGCCTTCCGAAGTCTCCTGGCGCTTCCTGTGGCCTCCTGGGGCCTCCTGTGGCTTCCTGAGGCCTCCTGGAGCTTCCTGGGGCCTCCTGGAGCCTCTTGGGACATCTTGTGGCCTCTTGAGTCTTTCTGTGGCCTCCTGATGCCTCAGGGACCTCATGTGGTCCCCAGTGGCCTCATGGAGCCTGTTGGAGCATCCTGTGCCACCTTCTGCCCACCCAAAAACAGGCAACCAATCAAGCCATCCTCATTTCTGGCCCAACTGGGGTGTGACAATGAGCGCTAGCTCGTGACATTCCTCCAAATCGTGCTCGATAGCGAAGGGTTGTTGGGACAGAAAAACAGGCATAATCGCTTAGATGACATCCCACAAATCGGCCTCGGAACGGCCACCGTTGAAATACCTTCGGGCGGTCCATAGGAAGAAAAATGGTGAACATGAGCGCCTCGCTCGAGACTTCCTCCAAATCTGTTCGGAAAGCAAAGGATGTTGGGACAGACAACAGGCAAACCGCTTGAGACATCCCCACGAAACGGCCGCGAACGGGACCGTGAAATACTCCTCGGCGGCTCCCTTTAGGGAGGTGAAAATGAGCGCCTCGCTCGAGACATCCTCCAAATCTGCTCCGAAAGCGAAGGATGCTGGGACAGAAAACAGGCAAAGCGCTTGAGACATTCCCACAAAACGGCCGCGAACGGGGCGTGCGTGAGTCTCACCATGAGTAAGTCTGAGTAGGAGTAGGTATGAGTATGAGTAGGTCTGAGTATGAGTCATTTTGCGTATGGGTAAGTCTGGGTATGAGAAAGTCTGCGTGTGAGTCAGTCTGTGTATGAGTAAGTTTGGGAATGAGGAGGAGAGGGGAGGAGAAGAGGAAGAAGGAGGAGTAGGAGGCGTCCCAGTAATAACAAGAACCCCATCTTAGGATATGGAAAGGAAAACACGCACGCAACCGAAAAAAACAAATGCACGGGAGTTGGACGTCCGAGCGACGTCCGAGCGACGGCGGGGCACAGGGTCTGCCGTGGGTTTGCCCCACCCTGTTCACCCTACGTTACATCCATGTCCAACCCCTAACTCGCCTGCGATCCTCCTTCTCGCTCCGCCCCACTTTTGCCCTTTTCCCTGTTGCCTATAAAACACCTGCGTTACCTCTCCCTCCCTACCCACTCATAACATACCGCACCATACCATTGGTGTCGGCGTCGTCCCGGCCCGGGGGCGTCGAGTCCCGGGGGCGTCGAGAACAAACGGCGCGGCGCGCTTCTCGGCCCCCTTGGGAGGGGGCCTTCCCCTCTCCCGGGCCCGTCCCCATCGTCTTGAACAAACTAAGCGGCATGGCTTGCCGTCGTCTCGGCCCTTGGGCGGGGGGGGGGGGCTTCTCCCTTCCTCGTCGTCTCGACAGAGCAGGACGCGAAGGGGGAGGAGGTGGAAGAGGAGGAGGAGGAGGAGGAGGGAGGAGGAGGAGGAGGTGGTGGAGGAGGAGGAGGAGGAGGGGAGGTAGGTGGTGGGAGGAGGAGGAGGAGGGAGGAGGAGGAGAGAAGGTGGGAGGAGGAGGAGGAGGAGGAGGTAGGAGGAGGAGGAGGAGGGGGAGGAGGGGGAGATGGGGAGAGGAGGAGCGAGGAGGAGGAGGGAGGAGGAGGAGGAGGAGGAGGAGGCGGAGGAGGAGGGGTGGGGAGAGGGGAGATGGGGAGGAGGGGGTGGGGGAGGAGAGGGGGAGGGGGAGGAGGGGTGAGGAGGAGGAGCGAGGAGGAGGAGGAGCGAGGAGGAGGTGGAGGAGGAGGAGGAGCCCGCCGGATGCATCGACCCCCAATCGCCCATTGATCGCCTATAGTGGCCCGATAGACCCAACCCAACCCGCCTTGGAAGGTGCGATTTTGCTATCGGGGGCTTATCGCCGACCTATCGAAGATGTATCGCCGATTCCAGGTTGATACATCCCCCCTATGCCAGTCCCCCCCCCTATCGTTGCCCCACGCCCCCTGCCGCGTCGTCGTCGACGACGACGGCGACGGCGTCAACGTCGACGGCGACGGGCATGCGGCAGGCGCGGCTGGTGGAGCCAGTGCTGGCGCGACGGGACGTGTCCTCCGCGCGCGCGCGCCAGCGCGGCTGGGACCGCGCGGGCCTGCTGGAGGACTACGGCGAGCTCGTCTGCCCGATTTTGGAGCCGGCCGGGGGGCTGAGGTGGCCCAGCATTGGTTCTGGCGAGCAGGGAGGGAGGGCATGTTCGAGGTTCTGAGTTCGGGGAGATTTTTTAGTTTTGCCTTTTGTTTGCCTGATCCCGTGTGAAGAACTGCAGATGGACCCCCGGAAGAGTCGGGGCACCGATCTCGAGCGGATCTGGCCTCACCCCCTCCCCTCTTCTTCTTTCCTACTCCTCCTAATCCTCCTCCTCCCCTCCTCACTCCTCCTCCTATTCATCCTCACCCCCCCTTGCCCCTCCCTACTCCTCCTCTCCTCCTCCTCTCCTCCTCTCCTCCTATCCTCCTCCTACCTCCTATCCTCCTCATCATCCTCCTGCCTGTCCTCCTCCTCCTCCTACCGCCTCTCCTCTCACCTGCTCCTCCTTCACTCCTCCTCCTCCTCCCCCCACAGGACCGCTCCTCTGGGGCCCCAGCCAGCTCAGACCCCCCGCGGCCGCCTCCGATAGCCCGATCTACGCCCGGCACCTCTGGGACGAGCTGCGGCCCTACCCGAAGTGCCGGGCCTTCGTGGAGGGCCTGGCGCAGGGCGGCGCCGAGGGGTCGTCGAGTAGTGGCGAAGCGGCCTGGCTCGCCTACTACAGTCGAGGTCGATTAGTAGGTCGACCCTGCCAATCAAGGGTACCCTTGTGTCCTGTGTGTCGCGACCCGTGCCTCCTACATTCCTATGGCAATGTGGCCCTCGGAAGGGTCTTGCGTCCTATCGCGTGTCCTATCCAATCAATCCCGACTGTAGCCCTGCCAAGCAATGTTCTGAGAGCCTTGTGTGGCTTCCACGACACGTTTTTCGAACATGTGTGGCGGAGCCTGTCGTGTTCTATCACATCGGGACTCTGTTCTGAGCGCCTTGCCCCTGCTCTTGGGGCATTCTTGGGTTTTAAGAACAGTTCGTGGTAGGACTATAGGAATGCCGGGACGGCCGGTCCCTGCTCAAGGTCGGGCGCAGCCCTGCCTCCGCTGACGCTGTCCTTCAACGGCGGCTACCAGGGCGCGGAGGCCATGCAGGCTCAGCTCCGGCGCGACGTTGCGCTGCCCGGCTGGGCCACGAGGCTGCTCGGCAGCGACGAGCGCCAGACTTATGTCGGGCCTGTCCCCCTACAGGGGGATTTTCGACGAAAAATGCAAAATACCCCAGAAATACCCCAAAAAATTGTCCAAAAATCATCCAGGGACTATTTTTTTGTATTTTTTGACCTTTTTGGGGTAGTTTTGGTGTATTTTTTATTTTTCGTCGAAAATCCCTCTGTAGGGGGACACGCCCGACATAACGCCAGACGCAGTGGACGCTCTCGTTCGGGCCCAACGGCACCGGGATCCAGATGCACGGCACCCACCCCCGCACCGTGGTCGCAGTGCTCGAGGGCCGGAAGCGGTGGCTGCTGCTGCCTCCAGTCGAGGAGGAGCAGCCTGCACAAGCACAGTTTTTCGGCGGTCCGCGCGGATGTCTCTTGGATTTGCGCTGGGCCACCCTGTCGGGGCCGCCCCTGGCGCTCTCCGCGCGCTAGGGTTAAGTCGGGCCTGTCCCTCTCGAAAATAGTAAATGATCTGGAGACGATTCGCTTGTGCTTTGATATGTTTTGATGTGTTTTATTTCTCTCCTAAAATCCGCATGTAGGACGACATGCCCGACCTAACGCTAGGGAGGGGGCTCAGCACGGATCCAAGACATCCGCGCGGACCTCCAAAAGTTTATGACTGTGCAGCTGTTTGTTCTTCCTTACCCAGATGCGGAGGCCCAGAGGTTGACACCAACACCAACATCGGTAGTGTGTGTTTGGCTCCACCGAGGGAAGCTGATCCCGACTTCGGTGATCGTGACAATATGTGGGCTTCCTAGGTGGCCGAACTATTACTCTAGGCCTCCTAGATGGGGTCGGGGTAAATGGGATCGAAGGATCGCGCCGCATCGGCGATGCATCGGCGATGCGGCTCGATGTGGGGCCCAATTTTCTCCACGCCGACGTCGACGATTCATCGCCGACGCCGCCAGCGCATCGCCGATCCATCGGAGATGCATCGCCAATGTATCGGCGATGCGGCGAGATCCTCCGACCCCATCTATTCGGACCCCATCTAGTAGCTCTTTCGGATCACCACCGCTGCCCAAAACCTCGAAACATCCCCCCCCAGACATCCAGTTGCTCCAACTGTTTCGATGTGCAGGCCCCGGAGGTCCGGACCTTTTCCCCAGGGCCGGGTGTTCGTTCTGAGTCGTTCTTTGTCGGTCCCGAGGCCTGGCGAGGGCCCCTGGAGGCCGACAGCGGCCCAAAGCCCGCCGCTCCAACGTTTCTGGAGCCTCGGATCTTCTTGGGATTCTTACCACCAGTGCGGAAAACCACAAAAAAACACAAAGTGTTGTATTGTTTTTGTTTGTTTGTTTTGTTATTTGTTTCTCGTGTGTGTGTGTGTGTGTGTGGTGTGTGTGTGGTGTGTGGTGTGTGGTGTGTGGTGTGTGTGTGTGTGTGCGTGTGTGCGTGTGTGCGTGTGTGCGTGTGTGCGTGTGTGCGTGTGTGCGTGTGTGCGTGTGTGCGTGTGTGCGTGTGTGCGTGGGTGCGTGTGTGCGTGGGTGCGTGGGTGCGTGGGTGCGTGGGTGCGTGGGTGCGTGGGTGCGTGGGTGCGTGGGTGCGTGGGTGCGTGGGTGCGTGGGTGCGTGGGTGCGTGGGTGCGTGGGTGCGTGGGTGCGTGGGTGCGTGGGTGCCCGTGCGGGGCGTGCGTGCGCGCGTGGCCGCGCGTGCGCGCGGTCGTGCGTGCGCGCGTGCGCGCGTGCGTGCGTGCGTAGTGCGTGCGTGCGTGCGTGCGTGCGTGCGTGCGCGCGTGCGCCGCGTGCGCGCGTGCCGCGCACGCCGCACGGCACCGCGCACGCGCGCACAGCGCGCTACGCGCGCACGCGCGCACGCGCGCACGAGCGCGCACGCAGCGCACGGAACGATAAGAATGTAAACTGACGCGCACGCGCGTGCGCGCGTGCGCGCGTGTGCGTGTGCGTGTGCGTGTGCGTGTGCGTGTGCGTGTGCGTGTGCGTGTGCGTGTGCGTGTGCGTGTGCGTGTGCGGGTGCGTGTGCGTGTGCGTGTTCGTGTGCGTGTGCGTGTGCGTGTGCGTGTGCGTGTGCGTGTGCGTGTGCGTGTGCGTGTGCGTGTGCGTGTGCGTGTGCGTTTGCGTGAGCGTGTGCGTGTGCGTGTGCGTGTGCGTGTGCGTGTGCGTGTGCGTGTGCGTGTGCGTGTGCGTGTGCGTGTGCGTGTGCGTGTGCGGTGTGCGTGTGCGTGTGCGTGTGCGTGTGCGTGTGCGTGTGCGTGTGCGTGTGCGTGTGCGTGTGCGTGTGCGTGTGCGTGTGCGTGTGCGTGTGGTGCCGTGTGGCGATGTTGCGTGTGTGCGGTGTGCGTGTGTGCGTGTGTGTGCGTGGTGTGCTGTGTGCGGTGTGCGTGTGTGCGTGTGGTGCGTGTGGTGTCGCGTGTGTGCGTGTGTGCGGTGTTTTGGCGTGGGTGTGCCGTGTGTGCGTGAGTGGTGCGTTGGCGTGCGTTGCGTGTGTGCGTGTGTGCGTGTGTGCGTGTCGTGTGTGCGTGTTTGCGTGTGTGCGTGTGTGCGTGTGTGCGTGTGTGCGTGTGTGCGTGTGTGCGGTGTGCTTGTTGCGTGTGTGCGGTGTTGCGGGTGCGTGTGTGCGGTGTGCGTGTGCGTGTGTGCCGTGTGTGCGTGTGTGAGTGTGTGCGTGTGGCGGGTGTTGCGTGTGTGCGTGGGTGCGTGTGTGCGTGTGTGGCGTGTGTGTGCGTGTTGTGCGTGTGTGTGCGTGTGGTGTGGCGGTGTGGGCGTGTGTGTCGGTGTGTGTGCTGTGTGTGCGTGTGTGTGCGGGGTGGGTGCGCTGGTGCGTGTGTGTGACGTGTGTGTGCGTGTGTGTGCGGTGTGTGCGTGGGTGTGCGTGGTGTGCGTGTGTGTGCGTGTGGTGTTGCGTGTGTGTGCGTGTGTGTGCGTGTGGTGGTTGGCGTGTGTGTGCGTGTTGTGTGCGTGTGTGGTGCGTGTGGGTGGTGCGTGTGGGTGCGTGTGTGTGCGTGTGGTGCGTGTGGGTGTGCGTGTGGGGTGTGCGTGTGTGTGTGCGTGGTGTGGCGTGTGTGTGCGTGTGTGTGCGTGTGTGTGCGTGTGTGTGGCGGTGTGAGCGTGTGTGGGGCGTGGTGTGTGCGTGTGTGTGCGGTGTGTGCGGGTGGGCGTGTGTGTGCGGTGTGTTCGTGTGTGTGCGTGTGTGCGTGTGTGCGTGTGTGCGTGTGTGCGTGTGTGCGTGTGTGCTTGTGTGCGTGTGTGCGTGTGTGCGTGTGTGCGTGTGTGCATGTGTGCGTGTGTGCGTGTGTGCGTGTGTGCGTGTGTGCGTGTGTGCGTGTGTGCGTGTGTGCGTGTGTGCGTGTGTGCGTGTGTGCGTGTGTGTGTGTGTATTTTTGTTTGTTTGTGCTTCTTGTTTTTTTGTTTGTGTGTGTTCTCTGTTTTTATTGTGTTTTTGCTTGTTTTTTCCCCCAACCTCGGATCATCCTCCCCCGGTGGACGCAGCCACCCCTGATGGTCCGCTACCGAAAATTTCCGGTAGCGCTCCGCAGAGATCGGTCGCTACCGAAATACCGAAATGTAGCGCCCAATACCGGTATCAGACCGTTCTGAAATCCGCTATTTCAACGCCCTCAAACGAAGATCCGGTCGCTACCGAAATTCGGGGTGCGTCGAAATCGCTACCGAAAATTTCCGGTACCAGACCATTTGGGACCAGCTCGGGTGCCGGTGCCCACCTCCGCGCGTCCCGGCAGACGCCCTGGAGCGGCTCCGGCAGGCGGCCGGGCCCGGCGACCCCGCCCTCTACTGGCAGCTGGGCCCGGGGCAGCTGCTGCCGGGGCGGAGCTGGGACGAGGGGCCGTCGGGGGCCCCCGAACTCTCAGCGAGCCCAGACCTCCTCGCGTCGTGAAAAAATCACGACGGAAGGTTTTTCGCTATTTTCGCCCTCTGGAGGCCCTTCCCGGGCCTCGGGACCGTCAAAAAACGACTCAGGACGAAAAACTGGTCCTGGGGAATGGGTCCAGACCGCTGGGGAACTTCGGGAGCGGAAAAGAGGGGGGTTGATGATGATGACTAGGGGGGGGTGGATATCATGGCGCGGGCCATGACATCTCCCCAGATCTCATGGCGCCCCTTTTTGTTTCATTACGTCCCTGGCCCCCCCGCTGGGCCGCGCACATGCCGCCGGTCATGATTTGCACCCCCCCCTCTTGGACACCCCCCTCTTGGCCGCTCCCGAGAACTCTCAGCGAGCGAAGAACGGTATAAAATAAACTTTTCCGCCGTCGGGGACACCTGCCCCAGGGCGGCTGGGAAGTTTATTTTTGATTTGTCTCTGACTCGTTTTCCTAAGTGCGAGTGGCCTCGGGAGTTTCAGAGCAGTGGAGCCGCGTCCGTCTCGTTCGCTGCTCTTGCTGCTGCTCTCTCCCTCTGCTCCGAAACCGCTCCTGCTCAAGCTCTATCATTCGAGGGGCCCCCTGCAGCGCATGGTGGTGCCGTGGGCCGCAGCCGGCCCGTGGGCGGCCTCCATCGCGACCGCGTGGCTCTCGCGCTGTCCCGCCTGCCCGGAGGCCCGCGTGACGTGCGGGGCCTGCCCCGCGTGCCCTCCGGCGGCGGCCGCCGCCCCCTGCCCGGGCTGCCCGGGTTGCCCGGACTGCAGTCTGACCTGCGGGACCGGGCCAGGCTGGTGGGCGGTCCTCGCCGCCCTGGCTGCTGGCCTCGCGGCCGGTGGCAGCTTCCGCTTGGCGCTGGGCTGGGCCGCCCGAGCCGCCTCGCTCTTCGTCGGCGGGACCGACCCGCCACGGCGCGAGGGTGCGGCGCCCGTGACCCTGCTCGTCGAGGACGACGGAGTGGGCCAGGACGGCGGCGCGCAGCGCCGCTTTCGGGCAGTGCGAGCGTAGCCTGATCGTCGGCCGTCGGCGAGATGGCGGCGGCGGCGACGCGCACGCTCGACGTGCCCGAGGCGCAGGTGTGCGTGAACTACGACGACGACGACAACTTCCGGTGGCACCACAGGGTGCTCCTCGAGCAGCTCAGCCCTGGCATCTGGGTGGCGGCGACTCCCGACGGCGAGGTGCTGACGCTGGACCTCAGCAAGCACCTGGTCGTCCCCCTGCGCCGCGGGTCCGCGTTCCCGGTCCGGGTTCGTGGGCAGGTCTACGCGTTCGGCGATCAGTCGGACGAGGACATCGAGGCACTGCGCGTGGAGGCGCGCGGCCTCGCCCTGGTCATGGGCGTCGCTGCCCCAGCTGGGACTGCTGGCGGCGCCGTGCCGCGCTGGATCGTCTCGGACCCAGGCTCGCCCGAGTTCGGGCGCGAGCTGGACCTCCACCTCATCGGGAACCCGGAGCGGCTGATCAGCCGCGACGCTGTGGGCATCGCGATGCTCAGCGAGGAGGAGGGCTGGGTCTCGGTCGAGAACGCGCAGCAGGCCGACGAGGAGGACTGGCGCGCCGAGAAGCGCCGAGGCCCGGGACGCGACCCGCGGATCCTCCCGCTGGCGCGGCGGGGTCGCGGGCTCCAGGTGACGCTCGGGGAGGCGATCGCGAAGATGAACGCGGTCGACTTCGACGACTGGCCCTTTCGGGGGCCGAAGGCCCTGCCCGAGCTGCTGGCCGCCATCCTCGCCACCGGGCTGACCCTCACGTCCTACTGGGGGTACTGGGTCTCGGAGTCGGGGGTGTCGCGGAACGCCGCGGTGGCCCAGGAGGTGCGGCACGCGCTGAACCAGCTGCACCACGCCGTGACCTACGACCTCGTGGACCCGTCGAACCTGGCGTCCCTGGAGCTACTGGGGCGCCGGGTGCTGCAGATCCAGCGGGCGGTGAAGAGGTGCCCGCGCCACCCGAGCTTCGAGGGCCTCGGCCTGATGCTGAGCAGCTCCTTGGACGAGAGCGGAGGCGTCGTGACGTCGAAGTTCGACGCGTTCGTGGCCGAGGAGCAGAAGTCGCAGGGCATCATTCTGAAGCAGGAGCGGATGTACCGGGAGGAGCAGGAGTCGGAGGCGAAGAAGTACGAGAGGCAGGGCGACGACAGGGAGAGGGGCCCCAGGGCGGATCTGAAGGGCAAGGCAAAGCCGAAGCCCAAGGCCGCCGCGAAGGATCAGGGTTGACGGCGCCATGTCGGCGCCATCATGGCTGGGCACTCCGCCCGGCCTCACTGGGCCTGGCCCTGACTCCGCAGCCGCGAATGCGAGTCGGGCCGGGCTGCCCTCCGAGGGGGTCTCCTCCGAGGGTCGGACTTCGTCCACAGTTTTGTTTCCTCTGCCGCAGGGCGACGAGTTCTTTCGCCACCCTCATCGTGGAGAACGTGCCGCTCTGCCTCGGTATCTGGCCCAGCGTGCTGCTCGTGCTGACGACCGTGATCGCAGGTCTCTCGAGACTCTGGCTGCGCTCAACGCGCTGGCAGGCGCACGGGCTGGGGGGCGTCTCGAGCCTCGAGCGCCCGGCAAGCATCGGCCGACTACCGCCCAGGAGTCGGTCATCAAGCGAGTCCGACGTCGTGTCCGCGGCTTCGGCGACCGACCGAAAGACATGGACTGTGCTGGAGCCCTGCAGGAGCTCCTCAAGTGCAAGGATCTGTACTCGAACATGGGCGAGGCTTCTACTCGCCGCGACTATGATGCTGACAAGCTCAATGTGTTACGACGTGCGCCACATGACCGGCCTCGTCAGCTTCGAGACGTTGCCCCTCGGCACGTCACCGAGGCGCTGGGCCACTTCAACTCGGACGTCGTTCGCCCCGCGCCGAACATCCCCGAGGACGAGGTCATCGTGGAGCCTTACTGGGACCCTCTCCTCAACCCGCGCGACCTTCGGAACCGACCACGCCTCGTCGACTTCCTTCGACGACTCGCTGCACGGGGCCTGGTGGATGGCCGGGCGCGTCGGAAGGCGTGCGTCAGTACCTTCTTCGTCGCCAAGAAGAACGGCGACATCCGCATGGTCGTGGACGCTCGCCAGCCCAACCAGCTGCACAAGCTCCCCCCTCGGACTGTGCTGGCATCCGGTGAGGCGCTGGGCTCGATCAACATGCTCGACGCCGTCGGCGCGAGCCCCGAGGACTTGGCGGATTTCGACGGCTGCTACGAGTCGCTCTGCGCAGGCTCCGTGGACCTCATGGACGGGTTCTACCAGTTCGCCGACCCCTCGTGGGGCAGCTGGATGTGCTTCGACGTGGAGGTCACCGCTGACGAACTCGGGCTCGACTCGATCTACGACGAGAAGCTCGGGCGCCGCGTGGCCGTGTCAGGCGACGACGTCATCTGGCCCTGCTTCGCGGCGTTGTCCATGGGCTGGAGCTGGGCGCTCTGGATTTACCACGAGGTTCTCGTCGACGCGATGGACGAGGCGGGCCTCCCAGGCGACGGCTGGTGCCTTGACAAAGCCCGTGCGCCGACTCTCGTCGGACAGGCTGTCGTCAGGGCGCCGTACGTCGACAACGGGAATCTTGTCGCGCTCAGCGCGCCGGCGCTCAACGACCGGCTGGACAAGCTCACTGCTGAACTGGATCGTCGCGGGCTTCGCTGGCACGAGCTCGAGCGCGCGCAGCCCGGCCTTGTCATCTTGGGGCTGGCGCTCGACGGGCGCGAGGGCCGACTCAGGCATACCGCCAAGCGCGCCTGGAGGCTCTACCTGGCGCTGCACCACGTGCTTCGGACGCCATGGCTCGCCCGCTGGCAGCTGCGGCGAATCGTCGGTCACCTGGTGCACTACTTCTCCGTCGCGCGCCCTGGGCTCAGCGTGCTGGGGTCCTGCCACACGTTCATCGGAGACGGCGACCTGTCCCCTGTCGTGCGCTTGCCTGGAGATGTTCTCGGTGAGCTCGCAGTTGCTGCGGGCCTCGTCTTCCTCGGCGAAGTGGACTTGTGCCGCGTGCCGTCCGACGTCGCCTTCACGACCGACAGCTCGCTGCGAGGCTACGCCGTCTGCGAAGCCCGACTGCAGCCCTGGGAGGTACTGGCGGCCACCAGATGGCGCGAGCGCCAGCGGTTCGTCGCCACCGAGCCCGAGGTCGCGCCCGACGACGAGCAGTACGAAGGGCGGGCCGCGGGCTTTTGCGACATCTCCGGGCCACTGCCCGTCGAGCCGCCGCCCCGGCTGCGGCACGCCGTGGCCAAGAGGCGCCGGGTCGAGTTGGAGATCGGGGTCCCGCCCGAGCCGTTGGCGGACGCTCTGCTGGACGCTGGCCGCTGGGTGGAGCGCCGCCGTGGCGCGTGGCGCCGGCCGGGCCGTATTCACGCCCTCGAGGCGCGCGCCGCCGTCGCACCGCTATGGAGAGCGGCAGGCGACGTCAACTTCCACGGGAAGGAGATCCTCAGTCTGTGCGACAACATGTCGTCGGTCCTCGCCTTTGAGAAGGGCAGGGCCACCAATTTCGAGCTCCTGGCGCAGTGCCGCCGGGTTGCGGCCGTCTGCTTCGGGTGCGAGATCCGCTGGCGCCCGAGGCGCGTGCCAGGCATCTACAACGTCGCGGACCACGGGAGCCGGGCGGCTGACCGAGGTGAGCTCCTCCCCGGACGCTACCGCGGACGAGGCGCCCTGTCGGCGCCCACCAGCGGCAGCCGCCGAATTCCCGTGGTCCCGCCAGCCGCGGGCAGGGCCAGGGCCCCGCCGACCGCGGCTACCGAGTTTGAGATCGGACGAGAGCAGGCCGAGTTGTTGGGGCCTGAAAACACCGAAAGAGACCGTTGCATTCCGTCACCTCCGTCACCTCAGCTTTCCTCTACCACGCATTCCTCTTCTTACCAGAGTAAAAGGCATCAAGATGAAGTCTCGAAAGTGCGCCCCAACGAGCTACCCCGACGAGATCGGATTGAGCATGTTCGAAGCCTTTCTGTTGCACTCGAGCCTCCTGGAGTTCCTCTACGGGGCCCACGTGTACATCTTGGGGCACGCGAAGATCCTCAACAGGACCCTCCTGAGCGCCCTCGGCCTCCTGAAGTTCTTCAACAGGGCCCACCTGTACACCTTGGGCCACACGAAGAGCCTCAACGGGCACTGGCTAAGCGCCCTCGGCCTCCTGAAGTTCCTCGACGGGGCCCCCCTCGTAAAGCCTTCCTCGAGATCTTCGCGGGTACTGCAAATCTCAGCGGTGCGTTGCATGAGCGAGGTTTTCGGATCATGCCCCCGATGGACTCCAAGTATGGGCCCCACTGTGACCTCACGAGCCGTCGAGTCCAGCGTCTCGTTGAACATTGGCTCAAATCGGGAGAAGTCTGGTGGGTCCACCTGGGCTTGCCTTGTACGAGGTGGGTGCCCGTCGGGGGCACGCGCGATCCATCGCTGGCGGACCACACGCTCGTGGCGTTCACAGTCCGTGTCTTGCGACTCTGCCGGACCCTCGGGATCTTCGTCACCTTCGAGAACCCGCCTGCGAGCCGAGTCTGGAAGTGGCCCGCGTTGCAGCGCGAGCTGCAGCGCCTTGCCTGGCCGAAGGTGCTGTTCGACTCGTGCAGGTTCGGCGCGCCCTTCAAGAAGCCAGGTGCGATCGCCGGGGGCCTTCCCGGGCTGGGTCATCTTGCACTGCGCTGCTGCTGCGCTGGCCGCCACAGGGTCGAGCTGCAGGGCAAGGTCCGGCATCCGACGCGAGGTTGGACGTGGCGTGCGACTTTGGCCGGTGCTTACCTGCCCAGCTGGCGCCGCCTGCTGGTCTCGTTGGCCGGCCCAGACGCCCCTCAGAGTGCTTTCGGGCGCTCGACCCAGGATGACCTCCAGGCTCGGGCTCACGCGCTGGCAAGCGCGGCCGGGGTCGCCGAGCCTCGCGGAGTCACGGCGCCGATCTGCCCGCAGCGCTTTCGGCTCCCCTGGAGGCCAGGGTGGGCCACCGCGCTCGACCCGCGCCCGCGCAGCCGCGGACGTGGCGGTTGCACCAGCGCCGGCGCAGCCGCGGTCGCACTGGCAGCCGCGGGCAGCGCCTGGCGTCGACGCCCGCGGGGCAGACGTCGAGGCAGACGCCGACTCAGCCGTGCTGACGCCCAGGCGCGCAGGCCGGAGCCAACGTGACCCTGTCCCCCGCCCAGTGGCCGTGGCCGCCCGGCGCCGCCGAGCGCAGGCTGCCGCGCGCGGAGACGTCGCTGCTAGTCAGCGACAGGCCGCCCCTGGAGAGCACCTCCGCCTGGCCTCGCTGCGGCCAGCCACGGTCGACAGCTACGCGTCCGCCGTGATCGAGCTGACCGACTACGCCAATCGCCGGGGCCTGCTGCTGACCACGCCGGAGCTGGCAGACGAGACGCTCAACTTGTACTTCGAAGACTTGTTCTTTGCAGGTGAGCCCCAGTACTTGGCTCGGAACGCGCTCTATGGGCTCTGCAAAGTTCGAGGATGGTCTGCTAGCCGACCTCGTTTCCATAAGGCCAAAGATGCTCTGACTGGCTGGGCGGCAAAACTGCCGGCTACGCCGCGAGAGCCGCCACCGTTCGAGGCCGTCCAACTGACCTGTGCTGTGCTCGACAACGGGACCACGTCCGACCTGCTGACGTGCCTGGCCGCCGTGACCGGGTTCGACATGTACTTCCGGCCTGGCGAGCTGCTCGCCATCAAGCCGGAGCACGTCTTCGGCTCTCGTACGTCAGGCCGGGCTTCTGACATTACCGTCGTCGTAGCGCCGCTAGGCGACGACAAGCCAGCCAAGAACAAAGATTTCGACTGCACGGTGAAGGCCGGCACTGACCTGCCTGTTCGCCGAATTGTTCCCGAGATTCTCTCTAGGCTGCGAGCCCGTGCCAGACGTTCGAAGCTGCCAACTCTGTTCCACCCTCTTTCCCTTCCTCTGTTTGAAAAGACTTTGAAGCAGGCCGCCCACTCAGCAGGAGTTGGTGATCTCCTGTCAGTTCCTCACCAGTTGCGCCACGGAGGGCCCTCGCACGACGCTCTGAACTTTATCCGACCGATCGAGGCCATCCAGCAGCGCGGGCGCTGGCGCGCCCGAGAGAGTGTTCGTATATATGAAAAGCACGGGTCTGCCCTTCGTCAGAGGTCGAAGCTCACCGAACTGCAGATCTCGTCAGCTGCCCGTTTTACTGACTCGACAGTTCGTGACATCCTCAGGCGCGTGCGCGCCACCTAGTCTTGTCTCTTCGCCCCAGCCTCGGACCTGTGCAGTGATAATGATTTAAACCCACCCGCCCTCCCGAAGGGCATGTGACGATGGGGATGGGACGCAAATGTACTGTGTGTGTGGCAAAATTTTTGGTGATTGCACTTAGCCGCAGAAGTGGTTCCACTTCCCCGGCTCGAGTCTTTAGAGTACCACCGTGTGTCCCACGGCGCTTGCCTGATGAAAAAAGGTTGATGATCCCTCGTCTCTCGGTTTAATCTGTGCGCTGTCGCTGTTTCCGCAGACCCCATGGGGTGGCCACGCCCTTATGATAGGAATGATTTGTCTCTGACTCGTTTTCCTAAGTGCGAGTGGCCTCGGGAGTTTCAGAGCAGTGGAGCCGCGTCCGTCTCGTTCGCTGCTCTTGCTGCTGCTCTCTCCCTCTGCTCCGAAACCGCTCCTGCTCAAGCTCCCACCCGCCGTCCCCCACACACCACGCAAATGTACTGTGTGTGTGTGTGGCAATTTTTGGTGATTGCACTTAGCCGCAGAAGTGGTTCCACTTCCCCGGCTCGAGTCTTTAGAGTACCACCGTGTGTCCCACGGCGCTTGACTGATGAAAAAAGGTTGATGATCCCTCGTCTCTCGGTTTAATCTGTGCGCTGTCGCTGTTTCCGCAGACCCCATGGGGTGGCCACGCCCTTATGATAGGAAATACCGTTCTTCGCCCGTTAAAACTCGGAGGATCTAGGCCTCCTAAATGGGGTCGTAGTAGATGGGGTCGGCAGAGGATCGCGCCGCATCGCCGATGCATCGACGATGCGGCTCGATGCGGAACCCGATTTGCTTCACGTCGACGTATCCGATGCATCGCTGACGTTGACGATGCATCGCAGGTGCATCGCCGATGCATCGCCGATGTATTGGCGATGCTGCGCGATCCTCCGACCCCATCTACTCGGACCCCATCAAGGAGGCCTCTAGAGGAGGGGAAGGTACCAATACCTCTACCCTCCCCTCGTTTTCCTTTTTTGGGGCCTCCTGGGCCCCCGTCGTCGTCACCGCTGGATTCGCCTCGAAATTCTGGTCAGAACGCACCCCAGGAGAGGTCCGGGGAGTAGCGATATTGGTACCTTGTGGTGTCCTACCAAGCGGGGTGGTGACCACACCGTGCGGTGAGTCGGGGGGGATCTGGGGTCACAGCACGCTTTTGGGGCTCGAGTCCCTCTCCCAAGACGTCTCGGGCGACGGGGGCCTCCGGGGGTGCCAAGACCGTGCGGTGACGGGCCGTGCGGTGAGAGTCTTGGGTTAAGTCGGGCGTGTCCCCCTACAGGGGGATTTTCGGCAAAAAAAAAAAAAAAAATGCCACCAAAATACCACAAAATGGTCAAACAAATACCCCAAAAATAGTCCCCAGACCATTTCTGCACTATTTTTGAATTACTTTTTGAGGGTATTTTGCATTTTTCGTCGAACATTCCCCTGCAGGGGGTCAGGCCCGACTTGAGTCTTGGGGGGGATCGAGGTTACCGCACTGTCTGCCACCGCACCGTTTCGGGGCTCCAAAGGCTGTGGCAGCGCGCCCTGCGGGAGGTGCCGGGCGCAGTGGAGTGCGTGCAGGCGCCGAGGAGGAACAAGAGCGCCACGAGCCCAGGAGCTGCTCCCAGACATGGATCGCGTCGTAAAAGAAAACTTCTGGGCGGGAGGTTGTTGCCCAACTTCGGCCTCGGGGGGCCCTCGCCGGGCCGCGGGACCGTGAAAAAAAACGACGCATGGTGAGAAGCCGGTCCCGGGGAAGGGGTCGGGACTTCCAGGGACCCCGCACTGGAAAAATCAGGACGCCGCATGTCTGGGCCGGCGCTCCGCGCGGGTTCCTTGGAGCCGCGCGGGGCCTCCCCTGGCGGCGCCTCGGGCTCCGCCCCCAGCGCGCTCCGCGCGCCAGGCAGGGGGGTCCAGCACGGCTCCAAGAAGTCCGCGCGGAGCGCCAAAAGTCAGGAGGGGGAAAAACACACAGACACAGTGAATCGTCGATTCCCCAGAAAATATGGGAAAACATGGGAAGTGGGGGGGAAGACAGAAACCCCAAAAATGAGGAAAAACATGGGGAGCCATTTTGTTTGTGTCTATTTCTTTGTGCATCCTGGGGCCCCTTCAAAAAGTTTCTGGAGGGTTGCCGAGGTCCACGGCCGTGCGTCATCGGGGAGGAGCGGGGGGGAGGAGGAGGTCAGAGGAGGAGGCAGATGAGGAAAGGAGGAGGGAGGAGGAGGAGGAAGGCAAAGGAGGAGGAGGAGGAGGAAGGAATGAGGATGAGGAATGCAAGGAGGAGGAGGGGAAGGAGGAGGGAGGCGAGAGGATGAGGAGGAGGATGAGAATGGTGGTTTTTGGGGAGGGGGTCTTCAAGAGCCCCTGGGGGCTCGGGTCTCGCGAGTAGGGGCGCGAGGCCCCCCGGGGGACCCCTCTCGGAGAACCCCCCCCCGAAAGCCTTTCTGAACCCTCCTCCCCTCCTCCTCCTCCTCCTCCCCCTCCTTCTCCTCTCCTCCCTCCTCCTCCTTCCTCCTCCTCCTCCTCCTCCTCCTCCTCCTCCTCCTCCTTCTCCTCATCCTCCCTCCTCCTCCTCCTCCTCTCCTCCTCCTGCTCCTCCTCCCTTCCTCCTCCTCCTCCTCCTCCTCCTCCTCCTCCTCGCTCCCTGCTCCTCCTCCTCCTCCTCCTCCTCCTCCTCCTCCTCCTCCTCCTCCTCTCCTCCTCCTCCTCCTCCTCTCGCCTCCCTCCTCCTCCTCACTCCTCCTCCTCTCCTCCTCCTCCTCCTCACTCCATCCTCCCTCATCCTCCTCCTCTCCTCTCCTTCCTCCTCCCCTCCTCCCATCCTCCTCCGCCTCCTCTTACTCCTCCTCCTGCCTCCTTCTCCTCCTCCTCCCCTCCTCCTCCTCCTCCTCCTCCTCCTCCTCCCTCCAGCTCATGTTGTTCGGGCGTTTTTTTTTTTCCGGGGGTGGACAGACCTCCTACCCTGACACGTCGATGGGTGGATTGTCCATTTTCAGTTCTCGAGAGGGCGCCGCGGCCGTCATTTTCCAGGCCTGCGCCCGCCAGGTCGAGGCTCGAGGTCGTCTTCACTAATCCACGTTTTACTAAAGGGGAGTTCTGTCCATCCCCGAATGTTCTAATGACCTCTTTAGTGGCTTGCACGAAATATTCGTAGAACATTTCTGGCTGGGTCTGTCTTCTTTTGACACGTCGGGCTTACGCTCGAGCAAAAGGCGGCTGGAGGCTTGCCAAGCCCAGACCTTTCCCAATGGAGAGGCCGTGCGGACCAGTCCCGCAGCCTGCACAGTGGCCAGACTTCGATCATCAGGACGATTTAAATGGCACCCAGCTTGATCAGCTCTGGAAGCAGGTCTCACACTGTGCTGAAGCTTGGCGGTGGGTAGCCGCACGAGCCAGTGATTTCATTTTCCTCGCACAAGCTGCCCAGCAGGAGGGCATCTGGATGCATGCACGTGCGCGACGAGCAAAGCTCGAGCGCCGCATCGGAGGAGGAAGGAGTCGGCTGGTTCATGACCTGGGGGAGGAGGCGGAGCACGCAATCGCCCAGTTTGAACGATACCGCGCTTTTTGTCTCGAGGGCCCAGCGCTCATGGAGCAGGCCCCAGAGATCATCGGTCTCCAGCGTCGTGCAGTAGCCAATGCTCAGACCATCGAGCGGCAGCAGGCAGCCGCACGGTCAAAAGAATGGCGAGAACGTTTGAAGAAGGAGTCGACGGCAGGCTCTTCTTTCATCCACAGGATCAGCAAGTGGCGTACTCCTCCTCCCCCCGTTACGGGTTACTCTGTCTCCAACCTCGAGCTTGCTGATCCTCAGGAAGCGGCCGACAGGGCCGCGCAAGAGTGGTTTGACATTTGGGGCTCCCATGGGTGCCCAGCGTTTCAGGAGCAGCGCCAGGCTGCAGGTGAATCCTATCCTGATATCATCCACCGCGCCTCCTCCTCGTGCTCCTCTTCCCGTCTCTTTTCCAGGGCTCTCGTGCCTCACCCACTTGTCGACCAGCATGGAAATATACGCGAAGCAATGCATGGCACGGTTCCAGGAGTTAGGCAGGCACAAAGTGTGCTTAGAGCAGAATTGCACGGTTTCCTGAATGTTCTGCGGCACGGCGCTGCCCCTCTACAGGTGGGGATCGACAATTCTACCGTCGTTCGGGGCTTCAGGCGAGGCCCAGTTTGGTGCCGCCAAGCCAGACGACCGCATGCCGATTTATGGCATATGATTTGGAATGCGATTGAAGATTCGTTCGCCGGTGAGGGGGACCTCGTCGTCGTCAAAGTCAAAGCGCATTCCAAGAAGGCCCAGGCCCAGCAGCTCGAGGGACTCGAGCTGTGCAGCTATCTAGGGAATCAGTGCGCCGACCTTCAAGCGAAGGAGGGCGCCAAGCTAGACGCCATCCCGCCTCATATCAGAGACACGTGGGTGGCCAGATTTAAGGAGGTTTGTGCTGTCCTCGGGCTTGTCGGAGATATGACCTGTAAGATAGGCACAGCCCACAGCTATAAGGCCAAGCTGGTGCTGTCGCGTAAGTTTTGCAGGAAGGGTTTCTCCTCGCACGCCAAGTGGAAGAAGATAGCGCGTGTCGACGGGGCTCCTTTGGAGGGGCCAAGGCGACACAAGCTGTCTCGAATTGGCCACTACACCTTCTGTCGAGAGTGCGGCGCCTTTTTGAGCGCCAGGGCTTGTGGGTTACTTACAGGTTGTCCTAAGGACCCGAGGGACCACAACGCCAAGACTCGACGTAATCGTTTGCTGGCAGGTAAGCATCCTTATAAGAATGACAGACTGCCTGGAGAGGTGGTCGCGCTGTCCAGAACCCAGGAATTGGAGTTTCTGGAGTCGATTGGGATTGCTGCCAGGGCCTCCGCCGCGGGAAGTGGCGTGGAGGCACAAATTTCCTCCGCCGCCTCTGGCGGCGCGGAGGACTAACCTGGCCTGACGCAGGTGGACGCGAGGTGCTCGCCCACGCTGTGCTCGCGGGAAACCTCCTCCTCCTCCTCCTCCTCCTCCTCCTCCTCCTCCTCCTCCTCCTCCTCCTCCTCCTCCTCCCTCTCCCTCCACTCCTCCTCCTCCTCCTCCTCACTCCTCCTCCTCCTCCTCCTCCTCCTCCTCCTCCTCCTCCTCCTCCTCCTCCTCCTCCTCCTCCTCCTCCTCCTCCTCCTCCCTACTCCTCCTCGTTTTCACGAAACCCTGTTTTGCTACAGGGAGGTCTGCCCCTCCCCGGTGTCTGTTCCTCTGAGCTCCGCGGGAGCCCCGCGTGCCCCCTCGGCGCTCCGCCCCCCGGGGGGCACCGGCGCCGGCCGGCGCCCGGCAGTCCACGAGGCAGCGCCGGGTTCGCGTCGACCAGCGTCGATCTCGCGTCGATGACTCCAGATTTCGTAACAAAGGGAGGGGGGTCTAAAACGATGCGAAGATCGGGACAAAATCGGATCGGGATAACTCGAAATCTCTGAGAATCGGCGGGTTTGGAGGATGTATTGGGCGCCGCGGCCGCTCCAGAGCGTTCCGGAACGCTCTGAGAGCGCTCTGGAACGCTCTGGAGCGATGTATCCCGATCCTGGCCCTGTTTTAAGGGTCTCATTTCGGGAGGGGTCTCTTCCAGGCTATCTTGGAGGCCTGGGGGGTTCTGGGGACGACGTTTGGAGGGTTCCCTCCCACGGGGGGGGGTCTGAAATGGCTTGTCTTGGAGGGTCCAGACCCCCTCCCTTCTATTACGAGATCTGGAGTAGCGTCGACCGAGCGTCGACTTATCGTCGATTGGGCATCGATGGAGCGTCGACTAGCGTCGATTGAGCATCGATGGAGCGTCGACTAGCGTCGACTCGGCGTCGATTTCGCGTCGATTTCGCGTCGACTAGCGTCGACTCGGCGTCGATTTCGCGTCGATTTCGCGTCGACTAGCGTCGACTTAGCGACGATCTAGCGACGATTCGCGTCGACTAGCGTCGACTCGGCCTCGATTTCGCGTCGACTAGCGTCGACTCGGCGACGATCTGGCGACGATGAGCGTCGACGAGCGTCGACTGGCGTCGAGTTGGCGTCGATGCCTGTGGCGGTTTGCTCTTCCTCTGCATGCAGGAGGCGGGCACGGTGCTCTCGGCCGCGTGCAAGGGCGGCCCTCCTGGATCAGGAGGGAAAGAAACACACAGACACAATTATTCGTCGATTCCCAAGAAAATATGCGAAAATATGGGAAGTGGGGGGGAAGACAGAAACCCAGAAAATATGAGAAAATATGGGAAATCTTTTTATTTGTGTGTATTTATTTGTGTGTCCTGGGGCCCCTTCATTGGCTGGAGGGTGCGGGCCCATGCGGGTCCCACCGGGCTCCCTCCCGGGGTGCTCCCCTGCGCGCCTGGATGCTGCGAGGTCGGGCACGTCCCCCCATAGGGCCAGTGCTCAAACACACAGGAACACAAATAGTTTGGGGACGATGTTTGCACCTTTCGCATAATTTTTGCATAATGGATGACTATTTTCAAATTTTTGCATAATTTTTGCAAATTTTTGATAATTGTTGCATAATTTTCAAATAGTTTCACCTATTTTTGCACCTTTTGCAGAATGGAGGATGACGATTAACAAATGACCGGGGGTCGTGTTCACGCGGCGGCGCCCGGGATGGCGATTAGAAAAAAACTGGCCGCGGGCTGGAAAACTATCTCTTCTAATCCTTCTCCTCCAGTCAGAAAGCTATGCAGAAATAACAGAAAACTATGTTTTTAATCGTTCTCTCCCATTTTTTATGAATCGTCATCCCGCATTATGTTGGCTAGTCTTGCTTTCTCTTCCACAATCTGCCTGTAGCAGGACCTGCCCGACTTCAGCCTGGATATTTTGCCCCCCCCCCCAGGCCCCCGAAGCCGGCCCAAGGTCGCAGGGCTCGTTTCGATTCCTCCGATTCGATTCCGATTCGAGTCGATTCGCCTTCGATTCGACTCCGATTCGCAGGGCTCGTTTCGATTTCGATGGTTTCCGAGACCGATTCGACTCCACTTCGGATGCCGACTCGGGCTCCGATTCCTCGGCGCTGGCCTGCCATAGCCTGCCGATGTCTGCCGGTCCGATGTTTCCCGCGCTGGCTGCCAATCTCCGCCGATCCCGCTCGCCTCGATGGCCGATCCGACGTATCGGCTCGCTTGTGTTAAGTCGGGCGTGTCCCTCTACAGGAGAAGTCTTCAAAAACAGTCCACAAATAGCCTGGGGACTATGTTTTCAAATATTTTCCGACCCTTTGGGAATATGTTGGAGTGTTTTTTATTTTGCGTCGAAAGTCCCCCTGTAGGGGACCACGCCCGTCCTCCTCCTCCTCCTCCTCCTCCTCCTCCTCCTCCTCCTCCTCCTCCTCCTCCGTCGCTCCCCCTCCTCCTCCCCCTCCTCCTCCTCCTCCTCCTCCTCCTCCCCCCTCTCCTCCTCCTCCTTCTCCTCTCCTCTCCTCCCCCTTCCTCCTCCTCCTCCTCCTCCTCCTCCTCCTCCTCCCCCTCCTCCTCCTCCTCCTCCCCCTCCTCCCTCCTCCTCAATCCTGGGGGTCGCTCCTGCACGCGGCCGGCGCTCGCGGTCCCGGACTACTGGGGCCACGCGACGGTGAACGAGGGCGACTGCGTGGCGGTCGGCGTGCAGGCCTCGGACGGGGCTGCGGTTCCGTCGGGCTTGTCCCTCCTGCAGGAGGAATATCGTCGGGGGTGGATCGGGCCGGGCGAAAGGGGGTATTGGGAAAGGGGGGTTTACGAATCTGCTGCATGCAGCTGGTTCAGGGCCTCACCGAGGGGCCCTTCGGCGTACATGCCGCCCCCGCCCTGGGAGGGCCGGGAAAATCAGGCCGTGCGCTATTCTCAAACCCCCCCTTTGCTATCCCCCCCTTTCGCCCGACCCGAGAATATCGTCGGGGGTGGACAGACCCCCTACAGGAGAAAACGCGTGTTTTCCAGATTCGACGAACAACTCGATTTTGGGGTAAGAACTCCTGTAGTCGATCCCCCTACTCGATGGATGTATCCTCCCCTGAGATCCGCCGTTGCAAGAAAAAGGCAACATCGCAAAAAAAGGCAACATCGCAAAGACCACGACCAGAGCCCCGGACCCCATCTTTCTTCGGGGGTGGACAGACCTCCTACCCTGACACGTCGATTGAGGAATTGGCCGTTTGCGGTTCGCGAGGGGGCGTCGCGGCCGTCATTTTTGCGGGTCCAGGCCCGTCGGTTTCGGTCCCAGGCCGTTTTCACTAAGGGGAGGTTTGCTAAAGCGAGGTTTGTCCACCGCCGAATATCGGAAACTGGAACATATACAGTCGGGGCCCTGAAGAAGGAACCCTTTTTGTTGGGGAGGGGCTCCGTGTTCCTTAGTTGCTTTACAGTGCTCCTCGGGTTTTCCTATGTTTTCCTGAGGTTTCCCATGGAAAATCTGAGTTTCATAGATGGGAAAAAGGGGCCTCGTTCCTTATTTATCATTCCTTAGGTCAACGCCCCGACGGTACACTCGGAAACGGCAGGGCCGTGTTTTCACCGTTTCCCCCAAAAACGTCCCTTGAACATGGAAACGGCAAAAAAACGGCGACCGGAAACGGCAAAAAAACGGTTCCAGGATTGGAACCGGAGCCGGAACTGGTCAAAAAACGGCGACAGAACCGTTAAGAAAACGGCATCGGAACCAGCAACAAAAACGGCAAAACGGAACCAGCAAAAAAAACGGCCCTGTCGTTTTCATGGCCCACTAAGAGGAGGAATATCGGAAAGTGGAACATATACATTACCAGTGGCGGGTTGTTTTTACCTAACAGCGAAGACTGATAGGTTTCTAGTAGGGTCAAAAGAGAGCATCATGACGCCCCAGGGGGGTCTGGGCGCGATCCGGGGGAGTGCCGGGGATTTTTTTTTTGCCAACAGTTACACACTTCGTGGTCTTCGAGTTCCCAGAACTCCATTCCCGGACCACATTTTGATTGCCCGGAGCAAACTGTAGGCCACTTCGTGGTCTTCGAGTTCCCAGAACTCCATTCCCGGGCCACATTTTGCATGCCCGGAGCCAACTGTAGGCCACTTCGTGCTCTTCGACTTCCCAGAACTCCATTCCCGGGCCACATTTTGGATGCCCGGAGCCAGCTGTAAGCCACTTCGTGCTCTTCAAGTTCCCAGAACTCCATTCCTGGGCATGATTTTGGATGCCCGGAGCCAACTGTAGGCCACTTCGTGTTCTTCTAGTTCCCAGAACTCCATTCCTGGGCCACATTTTGAATGCTGAGGCAGGCTGATGTTGCGGCCGAGGCAGGCTGAGGCTGAGGCAGGCTGAGGCTGAGGCCGAGGCTGAAGGCAAACTGAGGCTGAGGCTGAAGCAGGCTGAGGCTGAGGCTGAAGCAGGCTGAGGCTGAGGCTGAGGC